ATTTCCAGAAATTCACCGGGCTCGATAAATTCGTAGTGGGGGAGGATAGGTTTTGGGGAGTGCTCCCCTGAAAATAATTGTGAAAAAATGAAGTAACTAAGACGGGCCCTAATTCCTTTATTCTATGGGAGAATTTCCACTTTTGGAAAGTGTTGTAAGTTATTGCAAAGGAAGAAAAGGAGTAAATTATGTTTAGAAGGATGATTAACTTTATAGGCACTTTACTACAGCAGCAATTTGCCATCTCAAAATCAACAGTTTAAATCAGAAACCATAACTAAGAAATAGCAGCTTCAGCATGAAAGTTTTAAGATTGAATTAGGTTGTGCTAGTCTCGTGCTCAGTGTACGAGAGCTCTTTGTAATAAGCAGATACAGTCAGTTGAAGTCAGATGTAAATAACTTTTGGTAGCACTTTTTCTGATAATGACCTTGCATTTTTTTGGACTCCTGGTATTTTATCTGCCTTCCATGCCACCTAACTTTTATACCCTTATAAGTATAAAATGAATTCCCAAGGAATATACTGCCCACAATTGTGACTGATGAGTGCCAATATTTACATTTCTTAGACTTAATATTGTAACCATCAGACATTAGATGAATGATGATAAAGGACAATGAAAGATTAATGTATTACTGCTGTTCACAAAGTGTATATGCGTGGCAAATAGCTGTAAATAGCAGAACCAACAAACACTTTCAGCATAAAATTAATATACTTCACTGCTTGCTTAAAAAGTTTTTGTGGGATTGAAGTTGGATTTTTGGTTATAAAATATTAAGTTGATGAGTTTATAATGGAAACTCTTTGTCAAGTGTTACAGGTCAATACGACATTTTTCATCCCTTAAAATCCTGGTTAAAATCTTACTCTCACCTTCCCCCCTCTCTCACTTTCCGCCACACCATCGTACCCCTTGTAGCATTTCATCGGTTTCAGATCCCGCGCGGAAGGTGCCAATTACCCATAAGTCCACACGTTCGAAATTCAAAATGTCGGCGTTCTTGTATACATGTCATCGAAAGCTCCACTGTTTGAATGTAGTTGACCGTGGGGTGGCAAATGGGAAACAGCTGAAAAAGATCGCATCTGATCTTTGTGGGGTAAGTTTTCAAATAAAGGCACGAAGGGCTTGATTTCAGGAAAGGATACCACGGTCATGGTGAAATTGAAGAATTATGAATTGAATACGCACGTACGCTTCTTTCACGAAAACTTATCTTTTCCTCCCATCGACTATGGGGAAGTGAAACGATTTTTATATAAAAAATGACTTGATCTCAATAGATACTGATATTCATTGTCAGGGTATATCAGAACAATATCTGTCTGTTATTCATAATGGCCGTCTTGTCACTGACGATGGTGAACTGGTTCTTCAAGTTGGAGACGTATGCTATGCAAGTCTGCTTTTACCAGGCGGAAAGGGAGGGTTTGGCTCCATGTTACGCGCGATCGGAGCACAGATCGAGAAGACGACGAATAGAGAAGCATGCCGGGATTTGAGTGGGAGACGAATGAGAGACATAAATGACGAGAAAAAGTAAGTGGGAATTTTCATACTGACAAAGCTTGTTTATGTCTATCCTTTTTATTTCCCAGTTAACTGACTCACTCATTTGCAATTCTAGCATAGGTTTAGCAGGGATTTCTATAACTTTTTCTCCAAGCGGCTAATGGGTGGATTAATGGGCGGCTGTGCCAGAAAAAGGGGCCATAAAGGGAAATCCAAACACGAGAGCCAGCTCATAAGCAAAACAGACAGCAGTGAGAAGTCTTATAGATGGTATCAGACAACTGGACACCAGCTTTTATGGAAACCCCTAATATTAAGCTGAGAAGGGTAGGAGGGGAAGGGGTTGCT